ATCAAAGTACCTCCGGCCATCTAAAGTTGGTTCTGCTGCTCTACCTCCATCCTCAAAGAAAGATGTTATATTATCTCGATAGGCTTCGTTAACCATTTGCTCCATACCTACATTTTCGTTAACCATTTGCTCTATACCTACATTTCCATCTAATTCCGGTCTTGGTTCCTCTAGCCTATCCGCACTAGTACTAGCATAATTCCCCACTGAACCATCTTCACAATGCAAATACCATATCTTATACCCCGGCATAAATCCGTCTCTATAAAAGTGTTCTAATACAATACGCCCAAATTTCTTTTTACGATTCCGACATTGAGAACAAGGGCACGACAATTTACCTTCTTCTATGGTTCGCGGTTGGTTTAAAGTAAGATCCATAAATTGTTAAACTCCATCGTAGAACTCATCCGTAAGTAGGCCCGTCTCTGGATCATGAGAAGGTTTGTCCATCCATGCTTGAAAATATTGATCTCTATTTGAAGGTGTCATTGTAACTTTTATTCTTCTCATTTTGAATGAAGGTCTGCTAGTATTTATAAAAGAGTTCAACGAATTTGCCACGGATTTCCGACCGATTCCCGGTCGGAATTTTTAAATTTCAAACGCATCCATAACGGCTACAAAACGACTATTTTTTTTCTTTCCGATTTTCGACGGCAAGCAATTCCGACGACTTTCCGACCAATTTTCTAACCGAATTCCTACCAAATAAGTTTTCCACGGATTTCCGACTCATTATTTCAACCGAATTCCGACGGATACGGTTTCCGTCAGAAATTTCCAACCGATTTTGGACTGATATTTTACTGTCGAAATCTGGTCCAAAATATGTCGCAATTCGGTAGCAAATTTTTTACGGACTGTACTCCGTCCGAAATTCCGTCGGAAAGTGTCATGTTTTCTTGTAGTGTAGTATCTTCGTGGATATGCTTGTTTAGGCAGCTTCGACCGCGATGTTAGAGCCCTTGGTGCAAAAAGTAGAACATGCATTGGCGCATTGTTCAAGCGCCTCATTCACGATTTCACTTGCGTCTAATCACCCAAACAAAATTTAAAATGGATTATTATTATCTTGCCTATATTGATTCCACTAAAAAAATATACTTTTAACATGAATATTGTACGTAGAAAGCTTGGTTTACCAGAATTTTGGAGAGTGGTTAAAGCACCACACACAGAGGATGCACTTGCAGAATTCATTGGCAGTTTCACCACCTTAAGCCAAAAATCAAAATATATGCATCAAAATTCAAAAATGGAATTTTGATGGAATCTTGTAACAAATAAGACACGAAAAAAAAGGAATATATATTATTTTTTTGACGTACCTGAGTTTTCAAGAATGTTCGTATATCTATCAGGGCAATTTCCGTCAACGATTTTGCATCCACTGAGTCTAGCACAAACTGACCTAGGACTTCCAGCAAAACGGCAAGTATTATAGATATTTCTACCAACCGTGGACGGGCAACAACTCTTTGCTTCCACTTGAATTTGCGCCATGACAAGAGTCATTATGAGCACACTTAGAATCACTGTTTTGCCGCCTTCCATCTTTTGATTGATTACTTGTTTTATCACACTGTATATGATTTAAGCTTGTATTGATGAAATGGTGATGACACTATCTAGACTTGTTTAAATACTAGTTGGTTTAAATACTACGTGTTCTAGTGTTTGCTACCTTTCTCGCATGCACTATACTGACTTGTTTAAATACTGCACTGCATGGCTGGACCACTCTAATATATGGCTACCACAAACTGCTTCACCGAGCAAAAATATACTGCAATTTACTTTTTTACGTTTGTCCCTGCAAATTGCAAAACATGCATTGTCAAAATTTATTTGTGAACTAGGAGTTCAGAGGAAAAGTAACGTTATACATGACCAAACTTATATGATTTGGTGCTACATCAGAATGTTGATTTCAGAATTGCTTGATTGTAATGATTTTGTAGGCTTACGAGCCATAATATAGTGTATATATAAAACGTGTTTGGATTTATTATTTGTGAACTAATAATTAATATAAGAAAATGTATAATAAGAGAGAGAAAAAAATGTCAAGGGATAAGACTGTGAAACAGTCTCTTCTCCTCAAGAATAAATATAGTAAAACGTGTTTGAACTAAAAAATGAGCCTTCGGAAATTGAAAGCTTGGACTCGCTAAATTGACCAGCATAACTGAGAACTAGTCTATAAATAATCAATATATCATCATTAGTGTTTTATTTTTCGTTTCTACTACACATATTTAACTTTTCAATTGCTAAATGTTGCATAATATTTTTTCTGTTTATAGAGAAAACCAGAAAAATCAGAACTAATGTTTATATGCAAATGACTATGGGATTCTTGTGACATGGTTGCTCTGTTTATGTGCAAATGAGGATTAAAAGTAAAGTGAAAATGGGCCTAGGCCCATAAAAAGAGAAACAATGGAGCTTAGTCAACTAAGCAATCTATGAGAAGAAAGAAGCAATCTATGAGAAGAAGACTCTTCACTGAAGTGCTCAAGCTTGGAATAGGAGGAAGAAGAAGAATGTCTGCAACTTCCGTACCTTCAATGGCGGATTTTCTCACCAAAATACCTTACTCTCCTCCTTCTTGGGCTTCTCATCTTCGTCCCATTCCTTCTCACACCTTCTCCCTCGCTCACGTACGTAATCCTCTACACTTTTTTCCT